TCCATATATGCTGACATTTTCATCCGGACAGTGATCCAGCCCTCCCCATTCTGGCTACCTCTGCCATTAGATAATTATCTCCTTTTTAAATACCCACTATTTACATTTGTTTGTTTCCCACACAATGCATGATATGGTCATTTTGGCAATACTTTATTCCTATTGCCTGGTTATATGGAATTTCTTTTTATATTCACTCATTTTTTTTTCTATAATTTATAAATATGTACATGTTTTATCCTTAACTTCTCCAGGTGATTATTAATTAACTGGAAATGTAGCAATCTTTAGTTATTTCTTATAAATTTTTAATTTTCTTCCCTTAAATTTCCCATTTGCTAAATATTTATTTCTTCAAGAAGACTGTAGAACTATATACAAATCTGTCTTCCAGTATTCAACATACTTTTGTATTTAGGAAAGCGGCATTAAAGGTTAAATAAAAAAGCAAGGATCAGGACTTGTTCCCACTGTCTTTGTTTAAATATCTTCTAACTAGGAGCAGGATGGTGTATGGCCAACTTGGCTACATTTAAAGTAGCAGTTCACCTGGCTGGCGCCCTCTGGTGGTAAGAGAATACCCTCAGCGGGATAGTTGTGGGAGAGCCTCAACACACACCACACCTAGAGGCTTGAGTACCTGCTGGCTCCTGTCCTGTTTGTTTTATATAGGCTTGAGTCTTCCTTGTCTTTCTCTTCATTTATTTTCCTTTTCTTTTTCCTTCCTGACTTCTTTTTAAATATATTTACTCAATGCTTATTTAGGCCTTTACAAAGGAAGCCAGAGGATAAACCCAAGGATGGCAACAGTGTTGGCTGGCATTATGGTATAAGGTTAAACTTAATCACAAGAGAATATCCGTGTTTCTTGCAAGTGGATTGAGAGCACCCTTGTGCTATTTGTTATAATAACAAAACAAACCATGAGTAGGAAGGCATGCTGAGAGATTTTCCTCCACTATAATAAAATATTCACTCAATATTACATTTGACAAATGGTACCTAAGAGCAACTGTCAAATATTCTGTACAAGTTGTTAACATTAGTTAAATAATACCTTTTAAAGATAATGTAAGTTTCATTCTGCCTAAGTTTAGAAATGGACAAAGATGAGCATTCAGATTCCTCTTTACTTAACAAATTCTGAGTCTTGCGTGTGAACAAAACTGTCTATAAAAAGAAGTCAGTATAATATTTATCTGCCATGAAGGTATCGGTGGCTGCAGCAGTATTTCACTTAATGTTGGTCTGTGGTCTGAAAAAGTTTACTGACTCTCTAAACATCTCTGACTTCTGTCAATGAAGTTCAAAAATTTTCATTTGGTATCACACAAATATAATTTCTCAGAAAAAAAAGGAAATGTAAATGTGATACAGTTATATCTGTGCCAGCTTACCAATTTTTTTTTCAGGGAAAAAAAAATTGCTGCTTTTACTCTATGAGGAGCCAACTGCTATTCTTGGAGTCATGTATATAGTCTAGATTCCAGAAAAAGGCCTACAGAAGAATCAGATATTTTATTAAATTTGATTGAAACTGTGTATCCAAATAAAAACAAATTAGAGCAAAATCTAGATCCATGAAATGAAATTGCAATACCTTTTCTCTCTGTTTCTACTTTTGCACCTCTAGAATCAGTTCTTGACACAACTTCAGACGTAAGGTCTGACATGTTTTTAAAGGTATGATCACTCCTTTAAAGCATAAGTCAGAATATTTGATCTCCTGCTGTCAGCCATTCTTGGCTTATATCAAAATCCTCAAGATGGCCAACAACGTTCTATATGAGCTAACCCTGGCTACCTTCCCAGCAACATTTCCTACTAGTATCTTCATAATTTATTAATATTTAATTAAAATCAGATTAATATAATAAACCCTCAAATTCCTGTGTTCTGGAACACATGAAGCATGCTCCTGCCTAAGGACTTTGGTATCTGCTGTTCCCTCTGCTTGGAATGCTCTTCCTTCAGGAATGGTTCTTGATTTGTGCCTTTACTTCATACAGATCTGCTTCTATCAGTGTCTCCGTGGGAAGCAGAATCCACCCCATACAGTAATGAAATAATTTTTACAGAGATATATTCAGGGTAAGAGAAAAAACAAAAGCTGTTACAGCTCTTAGAGATTAGAAACTGGAGGAAGCTTGCACCATTCCTAAGTCTGTAGGGGTAAGGGAGGAAACGATGTTACTGCAGCCCAATGACAGCGTCAGCTGTCAGAGAAAGGGTGCTGAACAAAAGCTATCCATGAAGGAGGAAGCAGAAAGAGAGTAGAAGTGGAAGAGAGTAGAGAAGAAACACCATGACTTGACCTTTCTCTTCTCCTTCAGATATCCTACTGGTGCCAAACCTTGATGAGAGCTAGTGGCGGAGGAACACAGGTGAGGCCATCCTTATTAGTCAGCCTCTCATTAGTCAGCCTCAGGGCCAGACCAGGGCAGGGAAGGGCAGAGATTGCGGCTGGTGGGCAAATGGAGAATGGCTGGGACAAGGACTCTACTCAAAAGGTCGCCTCCCGAGAAAGGTCTTCACCAATCAATCAATCTAAAACAGTATGCCCAAAACATTATTCCTTCAACCAATTTCATTATAGCACTTATCACTATCTGACATTACATTTTACTTTTTATTTGCTCTCTCTTCCACCAAGATGTAAGTTCTACAAGGGCTGGCATTTCATCATTTGTATCCATTGCTGTATTCCTAAAATTTAAAACAGATACTGATGCATAGGAAAGGTCCAATATTTATTGAATGAATGCATGAATTTAGTACCGTCTTTGCTATTCAAAAGTACTCATGTTTAATTAAAATCAGAATATACAACAAACTCTCAAATATCTGTAATGAATTATCCATACACAACCCCCATACTCCAGCCTTTTCTGTGTTCTAAAATATCCTTCTTGTCAACTTACTCTGTAGAAAAACACAAATAAATTTAATCTTATGAAATCTTATGAAATACATGTATAAACATATACATATTATGTTTCATAAAGCTTATTTTTAATTGCATTTTAGGTTTTGGGGTACATGTGAAGAACATGCAAGATTGTTGCATAGGTACACACATGGCAGTGTGATTTGCTGCCTTCCTTCCCCTCACCTATATCTGTCATTTCTCCCCATGCTATCTCTCCCCAGCTCCCCACCCCCCGTCCCTCCCCCATTTCCCCTCAACGGACCCCAGTGTGTGGTGTTTCCCTCCCTGTGTCCATGTGTTCTCATTGTTCAACACCTGCCTATGAGTGAGAACATGCGGTGTTTGATTTTCTGCTCTTGTGTCAGTCTGCTGAGAATGATGGTTTCCAGGTTCATCCACGTCCCCACAAAGGACAAGAACTCATCGTTTTTGATGTCTGTGTGGTATTCCATGGTGTATATGTATCACATTTTCCCTGTCCAGTCTATCATCAATGGGCATTTGGGCTGGTTCCAGGTCTTTGCTATTGTAAACAGTGCTGCAATGAACATTCGTGTGCATGTGTCCTTATATTAGAATGATTTATAATCCTTTGGATATATACCCAGTAATGGGATTGCTGGGTCAAATGGAATTTCTATTTCTAGGTCCTTGAGGAATCGCCACACTGTCTTCCACAATGGTTGAACTAATTTACACTCCCACCAACAGTGTAAAAGTGTTCCTATTTCTCCACATCCTCCCCAGCATCTGTTGTCTCCAGATTTTTTAATGATCACTGTTCTAACTGGTGTGATTGGTATCTCAATGTAGTTTGGATTTGCATTTCTCTAATGACCAGTGTTGATGAGCATTTTTTCATATGTTTGTTGGCCTCCTGCATGTCTTCTTTTATAAAGTGTCTGTTCATATCCTTCGCCCACTTTTGAATGGGCTTGTTTTTTTCTTGTAGATCTGTTTTAGTTCTTTGTAAATTCTGGATATCAGCCCCTTGTCAGATAGGTGGACTTTCTTTCATATTATAAAATAGAGAATTAAAGAGTCTCATCATTGAGGGAAATACTAAAACCAACCTAGTACTCAGTACATAGATATTCTCTACGATGTTCCTAAATGGTAGGGAGTAAAGAAAGAATGTAATTCTTTCTCCATAGAACATATGTTCAAAATAATTATAACTGTTTACATGCATTTTAGTTATGTTGTTTAATTTATGAAAATATTCTGATAATGTTGAAAGAAGGGATGAGTTTTTGTCATCCAAAGTGGAGCAAAAGCCAATAAACGATGATAAATAATGCTCTATGGAACCCCACTGAGGTTCTCATCTATATTGCTAATTATTGTAATAATAAGGAACTTACTCTCTCAAGAACTGGTGACTTTGAGGCAGCTTTTACTATTATAAAAGTTTGGGCTTGCTTTTTGTTGTTGTTGTTGTTGTTGTTTAAAAAAAAAAAAAAAAAGCTGTTGTATCTCTTTAGGTCATTCTTTCTTCCAGACCAAACATCCTCACTTCATCAGACCAAACTTCGTATGTCCTATTTTTTGAAAGATTTTCATCCTAGATGCTCTCCTTTGCACATGGTCTCATCCAACAACTTTTCCCCTAACGTCTTGACTTCAGAACATAATTCTTCAGCCTGGCTGTGTCTAGGGCAGCATAGTGACTATCTTTTCCCCTCACCTGAACATTCTGTGTTCCTTAATACACCTTGAATGTACAAGTTTTATTGTTCCCCCATAGCTACAATGTATAATTTACTTGCACCAAACCTTTTTCTGTAAATGCTGTTAAACTATGTTTGTCAAAGCAATTAGAAAACTGCACATGGTTCTTGTGCTTCATCTGTCATCCCAAAAGCTGTTTGGGTTTTCCATAATGAAGAAACTAATGCTAACATAGGCACAATGGACTGATAAAATGATTACCAAGAAACAGAATCCAACCAACAGAAGTTAGTCATATATACACCTAACTCTCTCAAAAAGCTTTCAAACATGTCAGCAATTAGGGCAGGAATTACTCTGCTGATGACATTCCAACAAATAACAGTCACTAAGGACTTACCTGCAGCAACTATGATAATATCTGCCAGTTGTGTATGAATCTTCAGTTGTTCTTTGGGGGTATATCTGTGAGCTATTGTCACAGTTGCATCACCTGGAATACAGAAGAATTTCTATTAATGATTACTGAACTTTTAAAAATTTTACAGATGCTCTAAATCTAGAAGAGTTTCGCTTATTTCCTAAGAGTAGAAAAGCTACTTTGATATGACTAAATCACTTAATACATTAGTATACAGGGATAGTTGTCTTCATAATGGCAGGCAAACAAATACCGAAAGCAACAAAATAAGTGAACAAAAAAACTAACCAACTTTGAAAGCAGGTATTTAGAAAACAGCGAAATTTTTTTGTCATAGGTTATGGTACATCACAGGAAGCTTTTATATGAAAACCTTGAGGGACTGATGAATGAACAAGAGAGGAAAGAGATTTCAATATTTACAGTGTGAGCCATGAAAGGGTAGTGAGGGAAAGTTGGTGATAAAGTGTAGTCAAGAGAAGGACTTCTGGTAAAAATATGGCTAAGTCTTGTCTTCTCCTGGAAGATGTGCAAATGCTACACAGTTAACAAAACTAACAAAAGTTACATGATCTCCATTCTCCACTTTTAGAAAAATTGGAAGACCTCTTTTCTACAGACTCCAAAAACATGTTAAGAGTAACCAAAAGCAGCAATTAGTAGATACTATACAGGGAGAAAGGCAGCAAAGAAATGCAGACAATGACAACATGGCCGGCAGCGGCAGATCCCTGAAACTGACCGCAAAATTACACTTCTACAAAAAGTTCATCCCACTGTGCAAACAATATAGCTTTCTTAACTGGGGCAGTGAGAACAGAAATAAAGGCAGAAGAGCCTTCAGGGACCTGCTATAGTTCAGAGTGGCTGGTAACACACTCGCATAGAGGGGCTATTTTAGAAGGAAGCAGTCTGACTTTGTGAAGGTAATAAAGGAGTCAGAAGGCTGCACAGGACCTCCTCTAACCCCCAACAGAGTGTCCTGTAAATAGCAGATCTAAGAACATCCATCTCATTCAATGATGAGTAATAAAAGTAGATGTGACATAGCATTAATAAAAGGATATTATGCAAGAGCAAACCCAGGGAAATGTGGGAAGTGATGAAGCTGTTCTGATCCAAGTGGTGTTAAACTAGTTAATTTAATAGATGACTACATGCATTTGTCTAAATTAATGAAACTGCACACCAAAATGAGGAAATTTTACCATATGCAATTTTAAAAAAATTCAATAAAACGATATATTTAAAAAGTGTCAGAACCAAGACAAAAGGCAAAACAAAAGCAAAAAAAAAAAAAAATTAAGCACTTACCAATGTACTAATAAACTCAACAAAAAATGTCGTGGAAAAGTTGAACATTATGAACAAATATTAAACCAAAGTTTGTATTTATTTATTTACTTTTAACTTTTAAGTTCAAGAATACCTGTGCAGGTTTGTGATATAGGTAAGCTCATGTCATGAGGGTTTATTGTATAGATTATTTTATCACTTAGGTATGAAGCCTAGTACCCATTAACTAGTAACTAGTTTTTCTAACTCCCTCCCTCCTCCTAACCTCCACCCACCAGTAAGCCTCAGTATCTGCTGTTCTCCTCTCCCTGTCCATTTGCTCTCATCATTTAGCTCCCACTTATAAGTGAGAGCATGCAGTATTTGATTTCTGTTGCTGTGCTAATTTGCTGAAGATAATGGCCTCCAGCTCCATCCACGTTCCTGTAAAGGATACAGTCTCATTCTTTCATGGCTGCATGTATTCCATGGTGTATGTTGTGTGTATGTGTGTGTGTACGTGTGTGTATGTGTGCACACAACTCAGTACAATTATAATTATTGACAAAACTGGAAAAAAAAGACCCTTCAAAAAGAGACTCTTCTAATGGAGGATGTTAAAAATTCTATTTTAAAAAATTCTTGGGTCAAAATAAAACAAAACAACATTGCCAACTTTTTAGAAAGATTTATAATGAAAACAGTTCATATTAGATTCTATAAAATAAACATAAAGCAATGCTTAAAAAATTGTAGACAAATTATTATATCAATAAAACAGAAATAAGTAAATGAATCATTTAACTTCAGAAGTTAAAGAACAATAAGCAAGTGAAACTAGAAAAAGCTATAAAAGTTAAAATGTATTTGATAAATCTAAAAAATAGACTACTGTGAGAAACACTGACAGAATTCAATAAATTAATCAAGTAAGAAACTAATATACAGAAGTAAATAGCTTACATATATAACATCTTATAAAATATCCTGTGAGAACAGGCCTCACTGTAATAGCTGAACAAAAGAGAAAATACTTAAAATAAGCTTAATAAAAAAATGTGCAAAATCTATGTAGTAAAAGAAAATCTCCAGAATGACACCAAAAGATATACATAAGACGAAGGAACTAGAAAGATAAACTATGTTCTTGGATAGAAATAGTTAATAACATTAAGATTATAATTCTATCGATGTTCATTACAAATGCAATAAAAGTCCAATAAAAATGGACTCTTTTTTGGAAGAATGTAATTTAATACTAAAGTTAAAACAGAAAAATAAAAGATAATCAGGAAAACTTTGAAAAGGAAGGACAATGAGAGGCAACTAACTAGTAGTCTTTTTCATTTTAGTTGGCACCATTTTCTGCTCAGTTATTTACAATAAAAGTCTAAAAGTCCTCCCTGGTTTTTCTCTTTCTTTCACTTACTATAAACCATCAAGAATGTTGAGTATATATTTACAGCCATGCCAAGGTACCAAAATTATAAAGCACCCATCTCTGTGTCAGTTCTGGTGTCCTACATTTGAAAAGGTTCTGTAATACCTTAACAACCCACTCAAGTGTTCTCTAATTCCAAATGAGAGTCTCCCAAATACCCACACAATCAAAACCAAAGCAAAACTGAAACTTCCCATTTCCATCAGTACTGATTTCATTAAGAAATTGACAGAGACACGAAATCCAGTGATTTGTATACACATATAAGAAACAACTTAGAAAGTATCAGGCAAAAGAAAAGTGTATCAGGATAAATTTCAAACTGCATAGAAAGCCCTTGTAGGTAACTGCACTCCCTTCACTACCTTTTCAATGCTATAAGGTTAACTTGATATTCCTCAGTGAGTTTGGCTGGTGATGTCCATAGAAACTATCAAAGTCATATTTGAACTTGATTTATCAGAGTTTATGACTATACCAATACCAAACCATGGAAAGGCATTTAGCCTGTTATTCGGTAGACCTGATAATAAAGAGAGGTGACCCAATGAGCTAAAAGCAAATGTGTTGAAATGATGCCTCAGACTCTTCTGTCCTTTTGCTTGTGAGCACCTAAATTCCTGTTCCTGGTCCTGACATCTAGCTGTCCTGTTAACCCTATTCTTATTTAACTCATCTTCCTTGGCATTGTGATAATCCTTGTCATTCCTATATTCAATTCTTATCCTCTATTAATTTTCTTCAATCCTCTGGCTTGTTGCAGCTATTTTTTGTGTGTGTCTTCTCAGCTTTTTCCCAAGGGAAGCCAGTACTAGCAAGTCACAGCAGCTACTCAAGAATGATGCATATTTCTGACTTTCAGATGGTTTTTTCTCACACTCAGTTGTATCCTCCTAGAGTGCATATGAGAACAGAGTGAGACCTTGTTTTCTATCACAGGGACCCAGATAAGCAGAGTCTACAAGTAACTATTTTGTGCCTAGTGCTTTATAATATGTTTCTAAGACATAGGAAGAATAAAATACAGCTGTCCTTCAGTATCTGTCAGTATCTGGGAGGGACTGGTTCCAGGGCCCCCTGCCCCACTGGCAGATACCAAAATCCACAAATCCTCCAGTTGCTAATACAAAATAATATAGTATTTGCATATAACCTATGTATATCCTCTTACTTATTTTAAATCATCTTTAGATTACTTATTACTTAGGTAGTATAAGTAATACCTAATACAATGTAAATGCTATGTAAATTGTTTTATATTATATTTTTAATTATTTTTATTATTTATATCATTTTTTCTAAATATCTTTAATCCACAGATAGTTGAATCCACAAATGCGGAACCCACAGATACAGAGGGCTTTCTGTACTTAGAATCTATCTTCTAGAATCTTAGCGTTTTCTTGGAAATCAGTAATTAATAGATAGACAAGATGTGTTTTTTATTGTGTAAAAATCTAGATTCAACCAAGAATTATCAACTAGGACCCACCTGAGCAGTTTTCTAGGCTATCATTACCTCTGTAATTTATGGAAAACAATATACTGTAGCAAATAGTTGCTAGTAATTTGCACAGAATGCCAATTTGAAGCAAATAATATTTTCTATTAAAAAAAATCAAACCTAGAACAAACAGCACAATGTGCTTCATTTGTTAGTATCATTGTTTGTTTGTTTGTTTGTTTGAAATTACTTTAATGAGGGATTGACTGTTCTTGGACATTTCTGGGCCATTCCTGACCTTGGTTTATTTAACAATCAAATGAGCCTATAAATCCTTTAAACCAGATTCTCTGGTTGTGTCATGGACACACCCTTGAAAAACTTGCACACGCTTTTTCAGTGTCTCTCTAGCCTCACTCTGAGCAGAATGAAATAGTTATTTGCTTAGTAAGCTAAAGAACCAGACACTATGGAATGATTTTGATAAGACTGTCCATGTGCCAACTTTCAACTCTGGATTCTGTCTTTTACTCCTAGAGTAAGTTATTTTCCTCACATCTCTACAACCATCATTTGAAAACATGATTCTTCTATTTTACTTATAGAAAGATTTCACAAGCATTCTAACTATTGTCTCTAAAAAACAGTTCATTTTATGGAAGAATAAAGAACTACATATCATGACTTAAAAAAACAAAAAAATTTAAAGAACACCAGAATCATGCTAGGCAATAAGAATTCACAATTCTCTATTCTTACATGGAAAGCAGGTACACAAACATGAATCATAATACAGTGTGCTAGATTACATGTTAGAAGGAGGCAGAAATTATAGTGTTGCCAAGAGCATCATTATTTACTCCACCTGAGAAAGCCATGGGACAGTTGAAGGTCTCAGAGAAGACAGATTGT